AATATATATTTCTGTATATTCATCTTTCTTTCTTCCTTTCTCTCTTTCTTTCTTTCTTTCTTTTGTACCAGGTATTGAACTCAGGACCCTGGCAGGCAGTGGCACCACTGAGCTAAATCCTCACCGTATCTTTTTTTTCCTGGCTATCTTTTATTCTTAAACAATGTAAAACTTGTTGACAACTTCATTTGTAAAGTTTTACTTCTACTCCAATCTACCTTTAAAATGTACCTAATACTAGGACATCTTATATAGGTAAAGTCCACTGTAAAATGTCATTTTAAATTATTTCATAGGAATGATTACTTGCTTTAAAACTACCAATCATAATTTTAAAAGATTCATAAGATAGGCCATATTAAAATTCAAAAACTGTTCACCAAAAAAAACCCATCATTAATAGGATTAAAAAGTAAGTCACAGAATGGAAGATTATATATGCAGTATGCATATCTGACTCACACCTAGAATATATGAAACACATTCAACTGTCAAGACATACAATTGTCATACACAAATAGGCAAATATGGTGATTTAAAGAGTAACATGCATATGAAAAGCTACTCAACCACTTTAGTTGTCAGGGAAATATAATTAGAATCATTATGAAATATTAACAAGCACAAAGATGAAAATGAAAATGCTCATAGTTCTAAAAGTAAAAAGTTTGGAGCAAATGAACTTATATAAAACTGGTAGGAGTGTAAACTGACAAAATCCCTTTGGAAAACTGGCACTATCTACTAATATTAAACACATGAATATAATACAATCAGCAGTCCACTTTCAAATATATGCCCTAATAGGCACATATGTGCACCTAGAGACACAGTGAGATTGTCACAGAAGTACCACTGATAATAACCAATTAGTGGAAATTATTCAAATGACCACTGACAAGAGATGAGACTGACAGTGATATAGCACTATCAACCGGTAGAATACAATATAGCAATGACAATGAGTAATGTATAATTCTATACAAAACTACAGTTCTTACAAACAACATTTAGTAAGAAAACAGACACAAAAGAGTACATACTGTATAAAGTACAAAAATGGGCAAAACTAACCAATGATGTTAGAAGTCAGGATAGGAGTGCCCGTGGGGGTGGTAGAGTCCATAATGTGCCTGCGAAGGTTTGTAGGGTGCAGGTAACATTGTTTCTTGATCAGGTTATGCAAGTGTGTTCACATTATAAAATTTCACTGCTCTGTGCTTAGAATTTGTACACTTTTATTTGTTTATTTGCTTTCTTTTTTTGGTACTGGGGATTGAACTTGGGCCCTTGTGCATATGAGGCAGGCAGCAGCACCACTAAGCTAAATCCCCAGCCACTAGAATTTGTATATTTTTAAACATGTATGTTATACTTCTGTAACAGTTATTTTAAATTTAGAGCAAAACAAAGATTATGAAACCACAGGAACTATTAGATCTTTCCCCATCCTAGAGAAGCATCAGTTTTTCAACTTCCTTTCCTTCATCTACTCCCTACCTCTTGGTGTAGGGCACTGACATAGAAGAGAGAAGAAATCATAATTTTTTTTTTTTTTGCTAAATAGGATATCTGAAGCAAACTATCTAATTTTTTAAAAGTTTATTTAATTCTTAATATCTCTGAAGTAATTAGCTGAGCAGATTATACAATGACCAAGGAAAGTATCTGGGATCTCTGTAAACCTACAACCATTTTCTATTACCATTTGAATATATTTATTTCAAAGGCTGCATCTAAAGTAAAAAAAGTTGCATTTTAAACAGCTATGATTGATGAGGATTGGAAAGCAAAGGATCAAACACTGTCTGCCACTTCTTGTTCCCTAATAGAAGTGGATATTACAAAATGACAAAATGCTTTACCTAAAGTAGCACTGTATATGTCCTAGTAACTGCATATATGAACACAAAGAAAATACTAGTAATGTTCAAATAGACTTCTTTATAGAACTCAAGTTCTACAATGTTTTTATTTTCTAAATGCTATTTTCTAGCCCAGGAAGCCCAAAGAAGTGAGAACTAGAATTTGAACCTATAATTCTATGTTTCTCAGAATGTTCTGAGGACCACAATATGTTAATAGATGTATCTATATTAGTAGATCTTGTTTGGAAAATAAGTTTCTCTGATAAAATTAAGTTTTAGAGATTTTAAGGTAAAATAGTTTGCTTAGGATGTCTCATAGTCTTTAAGTAGTGGTATACACTGTTTACCTTATTAAGTTATATGGGGCAGCCCTTCCCAAGTCTTACTTGACAACAAAATCCACTTTTCCACAGAGTATTTTATGAGTGCCTCTTAATCACACTTCAGGAAGTCCTGTACCAACTCATTTTTTTTAGAAAGAACAAACTGTAAAAAATGACTATTTAGCAGAATCTCTTTTTAATAATATTCATCACTGCAGATGAAAATAACACTGAGATTCCACCTCACCCCAGAAAGAATGGCTGCTATCAAGAAATCAACCAATAACAAATGCTGGTGGGGTTGTGTGTTCATTGTTGGTGGGAGTGCAGACTGGTGCAACTACTGTGGAAATCAATATGGAGATACCCGAAAAAACTAGGACCAGAGGTCCCATTTGACCCAGCTATTGACTATTCAAAATGTTGCAAAATGGTCATGCAACCAAATGCAACAATCTAATTTTAGAACTAGGACCAAAAATATGGTAAGGACTATGGCAGGGATGAAACCTACTGGACAGATTGCCAGCATTATCATTCAGTGTTGGAAATTGTAGTAAATGAAATGCTATAAGACACTGTGAAATACACAAAGGCTGAAATCCTAGTAAAATGTTCTGTATGCACCAATAGCCATATTAAAAAATTTTTACTATGACCTCAGCAGCTGAATAAAAGCATTGATAGGCCAGCTGTACTTAGCAGGGATTTCTCATGACAATTTCAGGAATGTAAAAGACTTATGGAAAAGTGATGTGTCAAAATATGGCATAAAATTTTACACCCTTGTAGATGCAAAGAATTATTATGGTTTTAATTAAAAATTTATCTTGAAACTCAGTTATCAGGTGTTTATTCATATAGTAACAAATCAAATGATGTTGTGAACAAACTTGTTGCTGCCATCTCCCAAACTAGTCAGAATGTGACATTTAACAATAGGTTTACCAGTTTTCAACTGATGTTACATTTGCTAACAGAGAACAAGTAGATCAGCACAGGAACAATATACAGGAACAAAGAAGAAATTCCAAATGAAATGGTGCAATTTCAAAACAGAGAATTGTGTAGTACAATCTTTGGATTTCACAAAGATTTACACTGGCTTTGTATATGGCAAAGAAATACTACTCAGCCTTAAAGAATGAGAAATTGGAGTTGTTCATAGGAAAATGGATACATATTGAGGATATACTCTTAAGTGAAATAAATAAGTCACACATGTGTAAATACTGAATAGTTTCTCTGGTGTGAGAAACTATAATAGTACACAAGATCCTAATGGGATAATTAATAGTGTGAAATAGGAAGAAAAGGGCTAAAGGTGTGGGGAAAGTGGGAAGGGTAGGGGAAAGGGAATAAGGGAAAAGAAAAAAATATGAGAAAATGAAAAAATAGAAATAAAGCGCTTATAAATGGGGAGGTGAGGAGGGGGTGAAGGGAGGGCAGGGACAAGGGGAAAAAATGAGAACCAAGACCTGTCATGTGAAGGAACAGGATCCCAGTAATGAGAGTAACTGTATTGTATACCTAGATTGTACCAATAAACTCAATAAAAAGGAAAAATAATAATAAGAAGAAAAACAAACTGGTACTACTAATGTCAACACTGCACCAAGATGGAAATACTGATAGGGAAACCTCAACAAAACTGAAACTTGAGATGGAAACTTCCTAACAAAATTAAAGGCAGAGTCAATGTTGTTGATCAGTTATGATGTTACTTGAAATGCAAAGCATTGGCTAATAGTTGTGTTTTACTCTATCCTACTCATGTGTGACATAAATAGTTTGATAGTTCAAAAAGAAAATAACAACAAAATACCACAGAGAACTGGGCCTAGAATTCATGAGAAATCATTTACAGCAAAAAAAACCCAAAATGTTTCCACCAAGAGAACTATGCAAAAATCTGTGGAGCACACTGGTGAGCTGACAAGTGAATGGCAGGCACAGCATCCTAAAGATCTACTACAACAACAGGAAAACCGAAAATGTGTCAACTGTGCCCTACAAAAAAGGACAGGAAAACAAAACAAGTTTTCAATGTAAGTGAGATATGTGCTTAGAACATGCAGTTGTCATGTGTGAAGACAGCCATTGGTATGACAATTGAAGCGAAGATTATTTGTGTTGTAGGGGTCTGTTGGTATTTCCATTGTAGTTCACATAAGTTTATATTTCTGATATTCTCTTTAAGTTTTGTAAGCAAGTACATCGCTGATGTGAAAATGTTGATGTCTATTCTAAGCACTCATTACACATTTGATATTTTGTTTTATTGACATCAGATTTTCTTATTGTTTAGGTGTGATAACTGAAGTAAAGATCATTTTTTTTGTAAAGTGCTATTAGTATTTTTATCGTAGTTTATGTAGGAATTTATTTCTGATCTTATCTTTTAGGTTTTGTAAGCAAACAGCAGATGTGAAAATGTTGTTTATTTTAAACATGTAATACATATTAATAATTTAATACTTTATTTTATTGATATGTTATGTTGCTGTTAACTTCACATTGTATAATGTAATAAGAACCACCTGATAAAACAGCAAAGCAGCAGTGAGATGTTAAGCATGTCTTACAAAAAGTCCAGGAAAGCAAAACACATATGTTGTCAGTATAAGTGACACATGTGTATGGAATGTGCAGATGTCATGTATGAAGACTGCCTTAGGTGTGATAACTGCAGTAAAAGTTATTTTCTTTTGTAAAGTGTGATTTGCATTTTCACTGTAGTTCATATAGGAATTTATTTCTGTTATTTTTTAGACTTTGTTCACCAAAAAAAGTTGATGTTAAAAATTTTGATTTTAAAAATGCTAATAAATATTAAAAATTCAATATTTTATTCCTTGATATTTTCTTCCTGTTAAGTAATCATTCTTTAATATAACAAAACTCATAAAATTAAAATCAACAGAAATATTCTAAAGAGTAAACATGGGTAGACACAGCCATGTTTCTGTGACTTTATGACAAAATACTTGTTATGCTTAACAGTCTTGCTTTGAGAAGTAGAGCAAAAATAAATGCATCACATGAAAGATTTTCAACCTCTTCTAACCAACTTTAGGTGCTCTTTCCTCTACTCCAACTGCTCCTTATAAACAGTAATAGCAAATATTACATTGTATTTTCTGTGTCATTTACCACTATATCTTCTCTAAAAACAGAGACTGTCTCCTGTCTATTCACCAGTCCCTGTTCCTCAGCAAGGTCTCAATACACATTTGTTGTGTATGAGTGAATCAAACAGAAAGGAAACCTATGCTTTAGGTTAAGAAGTATATTAAAATTTTTTAGAGCATGTCTACTAGAAGATTTAGAATCATTTTACATGATTCTTGAAGACTACCTCAAAAGTAAAAATATAAATATAATTGAAGATTGTCTTATTATTTCCTTTCCTTTTTTATACATGGCTATCACTGGCCATATTTATAAGATGTTATGTAAAGAAATTTCCTCTTATAACATAAGAAAAGAATAACAGAAGTGTCAGTAGAGAAGCAGCACAGTATAGAAACCTTTGCAGACAGGTTGCTTAGTTTTGAATCCTGGTCCCACCACTTACTATTTTGTGACCTTTGAACAAGATACTGTATTTAACCTCTACTTCAAAATGTATATGGTGGTAATACTCCTACATCAAATCATATAAGAAAATCAAAACCATAATGAAATACCACTGGATACCAGCAAAATGACCAAATCAGAGAAGGGATGCACTGAGCATTAAAGAGGTTGTACAGCAACTGTGAGCCTCATGTATTGTTGCTGGTGGAAGTATAAACTGATGTTACCACCTTTGAAAATGCTTTAGCTGAACATATTCATAATTAACCTAGAAATTGCATTACCAAGTCCATGTTCATCAGAAGAGTATACATATGTTTACCAAAACACACATGCTCACGTGCTCATGGTAGATTTCTTTGTAACAGCCACAAACATGAAACTTTCCCAGTACTCATCAGCAGTAGGATGGATAAATATGTGTTGTGCATGTACAGTGGAACACAGTGAAATAAGAAAATTATCAACAATATGGCAGAATCTCTTAAAAAGTCAAACATCAAAGAGACATACTGTATGCTTCTATCCATATGAGATGCAAGTATTGGCTAAACTAATCTGTCACGGGAAATCAGAACAATGGTTATCTTTGAAGTGAAGTATGAAGACTGAATAACAGAAAGGGAGATTCTGTTTATTGTTCTGGGTAATATCTCAATAGATGTGTTCAATTTGTAAAAAAATCATGGAGCTTTCCTCTATTATTATATACAAGGCATGATAAAATGTACTATCAATGTTTAATTTCTAAGAATGTAAGAGCCACATTATTATTAATCCCCCTCAAAATCCTCCCTCTGGCTTTTCTTGCCACTTTCTGAGGCAGTTTTGGAAGTCTGCTTTTGTAAGTGGCTTTATGAGATGTGGTTAAAAAAAATACAGAGAATGCAGCCAGATGTTGTACAGAGGCAAAGAAGGCTCATCACAGTAGACACATTACTGTGTTTCCACAGTCACCTTATTTGTGGGATATGGTACCATGCAACTTGTGGCTCTTTCTCAAAGTCAAAATGACCATGAAAGATAAATGTTTTGTACTGATTCAGGACAATGAGGCAGCCATGACAGCACAACCAAAGAAACTCAAGAAAGAGGACTTTCAGAATTACTTCAGAAATTGGCAAGAATGATGGGATAAATGTGTTTTTAGAGTGGATCAGTATTTTGAGGGGGCTAATGACAATACATCTCTTCCTACAATAATTTTTTAAAAACTTAAACATTCACTGAAGTTTTCAATCATATTCTGTATTTATTTATATGAATTATACATTAATAAAAGTTTTTAAAATGCAAATATATATTTGCATTTTATATATAGATAAATATATATATATTTGCATTTTATATATATATAAAATTTGGTACTGGGGATTGAACTCAGGACCTTGCAGTTGGGAGAATAATATATATCTTAACAGTTGTTAAGAGATACATATAACATAGTCTTGCTAAATAACTATTATTATCATTTATCATTATATAGTAATAGTAGCAATTATTATATAGTACTAATTTAAAAATAGTAATAACAAATAGCAAACTTCCTTATTTTAGAGAGGAAAATACAAGTCTATTATGGCTAGATGTTCACCCAAAGACTTGTGTGCTCATAGGTGGGGCTTTTTGGAACTAGCTTGACTTAGGGCTTGTGACACTGGGATTAAGGGTGTGTGGTACTAAATTAGTTCATTGATTGGAATTAGCACAGTTCTGAGTGGCACCACCCAAAGAGCTGGCAGCCTGGATGGTATAAAAGGGAAAGACAAGCTAGCTGCTGGCTGCTTGTTGCTTGCTGCCCTCTGCCTGACATGCCATAGATTGATTCTCCTCTGTGATGCACCTCTGCCATGCCACCCTGCTTTATATGGACTGAAACCTCTACAAACTCTGAGCTGAAATAAACCTTTCATTCTCTAACTTTGGGTGTCAGGTATTTTATCTAAGCAAAAAGAAAGTAACTAAAACAAAGTCCAAAGTTATGTGCATCTTGTTCAACTCACATAACCATCCATGACAGGAAAAACTAGAACAGTAAGTATCACAACTCATCTAGTATTACTTCCAGTTCAATACTTGTCTCCCATACTTTAAGTACATTTTTACTTCCTTCTTCTTACAGCTAAATACCACTTAGGTCTTTAAAGAAAAGTATGTTGTATTTATGCACAAAAAGAGAAAAACTAGAAAAATTGTCATGATGATTAAGATATAAAAGATACTACTTTAACAACCTAAGTCTACTTTAGGGAGATGCTAGAGCACATTTAGCTTGGTAATTGCAAGATTCAAATGGATAATGATGGCCAGGAAGGGAAATATGAAAGCTGCAAATAGAGAATCTGCCAACAAAACAACATATATATGCTTTTTGAAATTATTTTAAAGACCTTCAAATAAAAAGAGAAAGCTAGTCAAATTATAATTAAAACATAATAGGGTCCTATTCAATAATTAAACAATAAGCAAGCAGAAACAAAAGCATGTTCTATCTTCAAATATAAAATTTACTGGATTAATTTAGAAATAGCAAGGTAAATCTTATATTCACTTTCATTTATTATTTATTAGTTATATGCCATATGGGAGAAATACTAACCAGGAGGCACTTGTGTAGAATCATCTATACCCAGCTGTCCTGTATTTAAGCCAAGCTCTATAAAGCATTCTTTCTGAAAAATAACATATGTGGAATTAACACACATCTCAGGCTTTGATGCACATTAAAAGGTCATCCTCACCTAAATATCAATTTAATTAAAAATCACAATCTAAAATGAATCTTTGTTTCATTCAAATATCTAAAAAAGAAAAGAAAATTAGCATACATCAAAATAGTAAGTAGTACATTAGCCCAAAATTAAGAATAACTATATTTCTGTCTATTGCAAGTATTACTACATAACATGCAAATATTTTCATGTGAAATAAATATGAATATAAAAGATATAAGCATTTACAAAAATAGCATATATAATGGAAAAGAAAAATATGTTTCTCCATATGTAGAGCATTTAGTGATTTTTTTATTTCTCCTAATTTCCTTACTTAAAAAGTTTTTATTTTGATGCCTTTTGACCAGCATGAGTATTGATATTTTTAAAATGTTTTTCAAAAATTATTCTTGATTTTGCATTTTTAAGTGATAGTAAAGAACCAGTAATGTTCAAACCTTTCCTGAAACACACATGCATTCATAAATACACACACACTCTCTCTCTCTCTCTCTCTCCAGGAATAGGCAGCAGTTATCAATTTTATCTTCTAAAATTACTGTGTAAAATTGCCAATATAAACCCGTATCTGTGCTCTCTATGATATAGTACTTCACTCAGTGGTTAATCAACTAAATACTCCTAACAACTTAAATGTATTCTTAAGTGAAACTGGACTATCAAGTAGTCTGCTAAAATAAAGGGTAAATTAGTTATATTCTCCAGACTTCCTCTACTTATCTAGTAATGTCTAGAGAGAAAGTAATATATGTTTGTCTGGTATTTTTTTAAACATCTAAAAACTCCACATTAGTCATATTATTTGTATTCTCTAAATAATTAAATATTTCTATTAATATTGTTTCATTACTATTCTAATTGCTAAAATCATTCTTCCATCCCCTTTAAAATGGAATTAATTTTAATATTTCCTAAATATCTATTTTAAGTTAATGATTTATAATGTTATAAGCCTAACACACACATACATACATACACATTTCATTTTTATTTAAGTATTATATTTCAATTTTTAACTGGAGTTGCTTTTATCTATACTTAAAGCACTGCATCTTATGCTTTTATCTTATGTTGCCAATTTTAATAACTAAACAATTTAGTATGATTTTTCCATTTTTCATCTTTCATTTATTTTGTGACACTCTTGTTTCATTGAAGTCATTAGATTTTTAGTAGTTATTTCATTTTTATTTATTTATTTATTTTTAGAAACCAAATTTTATTTTTAATTTTTTTCTTTTATTGAGTTTATTGATACATTTTAGGTATACAGTAAAATTACATTCATTATTGGGATCTTGTACCTTTACATGACAGGTCTTGGTTCTCATTTTTTTCCCCTAGTCCATGCCTTTCTTTCACCCCCCTCCTCCCCTCCCCATTTACAAACACTTTATTTCCATTTTTTCATTGATCTTCATACCACGGAAAAGATTCAGTGTGAATAAACATTTCAATATTAAGTTCTGTAATCAAACTAGAGTTTTACACATGCTAAAGCATGTTGAAGAATAGAAACAGAACACTGAACATCCATCTTCTAACTCACTGCTCCGGGCTATTTTTTAATGCAACATCAGCAGACATGTGCCTTAATCTGACTGCCCTCCAAACTCACCTTCTAGACATTGCATCTTCTGGGAAGCCTTCCTTGATATTCTAGGCAGACAAAGCAACTCTCCACGTGTGTGCATTATCACCTATCAACTTCTGTTTACACAAGTAATCACATTATATTGAAATTGTCCTTCTGCTGATTTCCCCATGGCCCTGCATATGTTGGAAGATAAGGACTCTCTCATATATTTGCAACCCCCAGTACTTATCATAATGCCTTATTTAGCAAAGTGGTTCAGTAAATACCGAACTATAACGCACAGTTCTAGCACCAGTCTACTAGCTCCACATGACTGCATTAGTCAAAATTTTACTGTAGAGTTAATACATCTCAGTTTTAAGAAATTTCACAATAACATGGTTGAGACTACCTAACAACATGACTAGGTTTAAGGGATTTCCATCATTGAATCACAGGATCCACCGAGCCCCACCAAGTTGAATCAACTGAATACTGCAAATATCCAAGTTCAATACTCATGCAGACAGACCAGAGTCACAGATAAACCATGACTCTTGGAGTCAGAATCATCACATTACCAAGCAACATGGGGTAAGGCCAACTATCCCGCATAAATGAAGAAGAAAAGAAGTAGAACTGTTAGTTAGTACAGCCAAGATTTCTTGAAAATTAGCTGTATAGGCTTTTGGTTCTACAGTAACTAAGAATGCATTCACATCAACTTATGTACCCTTTATATTAGTCCTACTCATGTACATGAACCTTTACCAAAATTATCCTTTCTCTACTACTTTGCCTAGTATACTCCTGCAAGACCTAGTTCAAATAGAAGAATTTCTCAGAAGAATTCCTACCACTTTCGGGGGAAACCGCTACTTCCCCATCTGTACAATCACAGCACTTTGTACTAACCTCTACTTAGAGGACTTGAAACTCATTTTTAAGGTAACTTTAAAAATTAGTTTTTATCATTATTTATGCAATGGTATAGGCTTTGGGTTTTCTTTTATAAAAATTAATTATTATATTTAAAATTGACAAATCATAATTGTATAAATTTATGGGGTACAATGTGATGTTTTGATATAGGCATATCATGTATGAATATCATGCATATCATGAATGAATAACATAAGGTAACTTAATTTAAAAATTAGTTTTTATCAAAGTTATAATTCCAACTATCAAGTACCATAAACAAGCCATGTATGTGTAAAGTTTCCTAGAGCTGCCATAAATAAAGTACCACAAACAGAGGATTTTAAACAACAGAAAGTTATTCTTATCATTCTGAAGGCAAGAAGTCCAAAATAAAGGTGTTAGGTCATGCTCTTCCTGAAGGCTCTAGGGTAGACTCTGTTCCCCATCCTTCTGCCAGCTTCTGGTGCTGCTGGCAAGTTTTGGATACCTCAGCTTGCAGTTTATCACTCCAGTCTCTTTCTCCACTGTCACATGGCATTCTTCCTGTGTATCTCCCTTCTGTGTCTCTTCCTCCCCTTATAAGAATCCCAGTTATATAAGACTTAGATCCCTCTCTACTCCAGTGAGAACCTTTTAATTTAACTATACTTTCAAAATATTAATTCCAGACCAGTAAGAGGCAGAACTGTGTGGAGCTAGCCTACAGCTCTCACCTCAGCCACCCAAGATCACCAGCAGACCAGTAAGAGTCTGAACTGCATGGAGTTGGCCTGAAGTTATCACACCAGCCTCCCCATCTCAGCAGCAGAGTGGTAAGAGGCAGAGCACAGCACGGGCCTGCAGGCTCCCTACTCAACCCCTCCACCATAAGAATGAATGGAATGTCCAGCATAGGGAAGAAATGGAAACCATGAATGTCCAATATAGGAAAGAAATGGAATCTATAAAACAGATTCAAACAGATACCCAGGAGATTAAAAACTCTATTGAAAGTTTACATAGCAGACTGAGCCAACCTGAAGACAGGATATCAGATATGTAAGACAGGATGGAGGTCAGTGACCATGAAAAGAAGGTTCTCTTAAAAATAGTAAGGGAAAATGAGAAATCAATCCAACAGATCCTAGATGATACAAAGAATAATAATATAAAACTGATAGGAGTCCATGAAAAATGAAAATGTACAAATGACATTAAAAAACTGTTCACAAATATAGTTCTGGAAACATTAGCCACAGCAATTAGACAAGAGAAAGAAATTAAAGCAATAAAGATAGGAAAGGAAGAAGTTAAACTATCATTATTTGCTGATGATATGATACTTTACATTGAAGATCCAAAAAACTCCACCAAAAAACTTCTAGACTTAATTGATAGATTCAGTAAAGTATCTGGATACAAGGTGAATACCCAAAAATCAATAGCCTTTCTATACACAAATAACAGACAGACAGAAAGAGAAATAAGGGGAAAAAATTCCTTTTACAATAGCATCCAAAAAAATGAAGTATCTAGGAATCAATCTAACAAAAGAAACAAAAGATCTCTACACTGAAAACTACAGCACTCTGAAAAAAGAAATCGAAGAGGATATAAAAAAATGGAAAGATATCCCCTGCTCCTGGGTAGGAAGAATCAACATAGTGAAAATGGCCATACTACC